TAGACTTATAGTGAACCGTCATTCGTCACAAATGTCTACTTTTTCCAAACAAAAGGGAATGATCGCAACTTTAATTAAAATATTCTCAAATGTAAAATGACACCGAGAATTAAATCGATCGCTTGTTTTTCCCATTCATTCGTGGACTGCAAACAGCAAATTGTAACAATTGTAACAATGACAATGGCTTTGCAAGTTGTTATCTCGTGCGTCATTTTTAAAACTCTACCGACACCGTGGCATAATGTGCGCAAAAAGTGTATAAAAACAAATATCGAAAAAACTAAGAAGAATAAATAATAATGAACTATTTATTTCATTGAGGAACTGCCTACTATAGTTCACCTTTTTTTCAGTAAATTTGCGAATTAATAAGTCTTATCGACACTTGATTTCGAGCATGAAGCTGAGGCACTAAAAATTCTTTATTGTTCATGTACAAAATTCTTTAAAAATCAGAAATTCTTCATATTCAGGTGTAGAAAAAAATTCAAGAGTAAAAGATCAGTAGGTATGTGACTAACGAGACAGGGAGTAAACAAAAGCAAACAAAGCGCTAAAAAGTGTTTTAACTTGTTCACATCTCTAACAACAAAGGTATTATTTCCTCCGCTGACGTTTTGCTTGCTCCGGAGGCCCATTGTTTTTATAGAATGGTGTGTAGTGTAGTGTAGTGGTACAGTGCCCTGTGATACTTTCTTTGTTTATCTTTATAGCGTATCCTGAACATAGCCTCACTGAGAGGGTAAAAGACACTAATGTGTTATTATCATTACCATTTAACATTGTCCCTCGCACTGCAGGCAGTGGGAGCTCGTACTGTGGGCAGTGGGAGCTCGTACTGTGGGCAGTGGGGGCTCGTACTGTGGGCAGTGGGAGCTCGTACTGTGGGCAGTGGGAGCTCGTACTGTGGGCAGTGGGAGCTCGTACTGTGGACAGTGGGAGCTCGTACTGTGGGCAGTGGGGGCTCGTACTGTGGGAGCTCGTACTGTGAGCAGTGGGGGCTCGTACTGTGGGCAGTGGGAGCTCGTACTGTGGACAGTGGGAGCTCGTACTGTGGGCAGTGGGGGCTCGTACTGTGGGCAGTGGGAGCTCGTACTGTGGGCAGTGGGGGCTCGTACTGTGGGCAGTGGGGGCTCGTACTTTGGGCAGTGGGAGCTCGTACTGTGTGCAGTGGGGGCTCGTACTGTGGGCAGTGGGAGCTCGTACTGTGGGCAGTGGGAGCTCGTACTGTGGGCAGTGGGAGCTCGTACTGTGGGCAGTGGGGGCTCGTACAGTGGGCAGTGGGAGCTCGTACTGTGGGCAGTGGGAGCTCGTACTGTGTGCAGTGAGGGCTCGTACTGTGGGCAGTGGATGCTCGTACTGTGGGTAGTGGGAGCTCGTACTGTGGGCAGTGGGAGCTCGTACTGTGGGCAGTGGGGGCTCGTACTGTGGGCAGTGGGAGCTCGTACTATGGGCAGTGGGAGCTCGTACTGTGGGCAGTGGGAGCTCGTACTGTGGGCAGTGGGAGCTCGTACTGTGGGTAGTGGGAGCTCGTACTGTGGACAGTGGGAGCTCGTACTGTGGGCACTGGGCAGTGGGAGCTCGTACTGTGGGCAGTGGGAGCTCGTACTGTGGGCAGTGGGGGCTCGTACTGTGGGCAGTGGGAGCTCGTACTGTGGGCAGTGGGAGCTCGTACTGTGGACAGTGGGAGCTCGTACTGTGGGCAGTGGGAGCTCGTACTGTGGGTAGTGGGGGCTCGTACTTTGGGCAGTGGGAGCTCGTACTGTGGACAGTGGGAGCTCGTACTGTGGGCAGTGGGAGCTCGTACTGTGGGTAGTGGGGGCTCGTACTTTGGGCAGTGGGAGCTCGTACTGTGGGCAGTGGGAGCTCGTACTGTGGGCAGTGGGAGCATGTACTGTGGGCAGTGGGAGCTCGTACTGTGGGCAGTGGGAGCTCGTACTGTGGGCAGTGGGAGCTCGTACTGTGGGCAGTGGGAGCTCGTACTGTGGGCAGTGGGAGCTCGTACTGTGGGTAGTGGGAGCTCGTACTGTGGACAGTGGGAGCTCGTACTGTGGGCACTGGGCAGTGGGAGCTCGTACTGTGGGCAGTGGGAGCTCGTACTGTGGGCAGTGGGAGCTCGTACTGTGGGCAGTGGGAGCTCGTACTGTGGGCAGTGGGAGCTCGTACTGTGGGCAGTGGGAGCTCGTACTGTGGACAGTGGGAGCTCGTACTGTGGGCAGTGGGAGCTCGTACTGTGGGCAGTGGGAGCTCGTACTGTGGGTAGTGGGAGCTCGTACTGTGGACAGTGGGAGCTCGTACTGTGGGCAGTTGGAGCTCGTACTGTGGGCAGTGGGAGCTCGTACTGTGGACAGTTGGAGCTCGTACTGTGGACAGTTGGAGCTCGTACTGTGGGCAGTGGGAGCTCGTACTGTGGACAGTGGGGATCGTACTGTGGGCAGTGGGAGCTCGTACTGTGGGCAGTGGGAGCTCGTACTGTGGGCAGTGGGAGCTCGTACTGTGGACAGTGGGAGCTCGTACTGTGGGCAGTGGGAGCTCGTACTGTAAGCAGTGGGGGCTCGTACTGTGGGCAGTGGGAGCTCGTACTGTGGGCAGTGGGAGCTCGTACTGTGTGCAGTTGGAGCTCGTACTGTGGGCAGTGGGAGCTCGTACTGTGGGTAGTGGGAGCTCGTACTGTGGGCAGTGGGAGCTCGTACTGTGGGCAGTGGGGGCTCGTACTGTGGGCAGTGGGAGCTCGTACTGTGGGCAGTGGGGGCTCGTACTGTGGGCAGTGGGAGCTCATACTGTGGGCAGTGGGGGCTCGTACTGTGGGCAGTGGGAGCTCGTACTGTGGGCAGTGGGAGCTCGTACTGTGGGCAGTGGGGGCTCGTACTGTGGGCAGTGGGAGCTCGTACTGTGTGCAGTGGGGGCTCGTACTGTGGGCAGTGGGAGCTCGTACTGTGTGCAGTGGGGGCTCGTACTGTGGGCAGTGGGGGCTCGTACTGTGGGCAGTGGGGGCTCGTACTGTGGGCAGTGGGGGCTCGTACTGTGGGCAGTGGGGGCTCGTACTGTGGGCAGTGGGGGCTCGTACTGTGGGCAGTATGAGCTCGTACTGTGGGCAGTGGGAGCTCGTACTGTGGGCAGTGGGAGCTCGTACTGTGGGCAGTGGGGGCTCGTACTGTGGGCAGTGGGGGCTCGTACTGTGGGCAGTGGGAGCTCGTACTGTGGGCAGTGGGAGCTCGTACTGTGGGCAGTGGGAGCTCGTACTGTGGGCAGTGGGACCTCGTACTGTGAGCAGTGGGAGCTCGTACTGTGGGCAGTGGGAGCTCGTACTGTGGGCAGTGGGAGCTCGTACTGTGGGCAGTGGGAGCTCGTACTGTGGGCAGTGGGAGCTCGTACTGTGGGCAGTGGGAGCTCGTACTGTGGGCAGTGGGAGCTCGTACTGTGGGCAGTGGGAGCTCGTACTGTGGGCAGTTGGGGCTCGTACTGTGGGCAGTGGGGGCTCGTACTGTGGGCAGTGGGAGCTCGTACTGTGGGCAGTGGGAGCTCGTACTGTGGGCAGTGGGAGCTCGTACTGTGGGCAGTGGGAGCTCGTACTGTGGGCAGTGGGAGCTCGTACTGTGGGCAGTGGGAGCTCGTACTGTGTGCAGTGGGGGCTCGTACTGTGGGCAGTGGGAGCTCATACTGTGGGCAGTGGGAGCTCGTACTGTGGGCAGTGGGAGCTGGTACTGTGGGCAGTGGGGGCTCGTACTGTGGGCAGTGGGAGCTCGTACTGTGAGCAGTGGGAGCTCGTACTGTGGGCAGTGGGAGCTCGTACTGTGGGCAGTGGGAGCTCGTACTGTGGGCAGTGGGAGCTCGTACTGTGAGCAGTGGGAGCTCGTACTGTGGGCAGTGGGAGCTCTTACTGTGGGCAGTGGGAGCTGGTACTGTGGGCAGTGGGAGCTCGTACGTGGGCAGTGGGAGCTCGTACGTGGGTGCATACTGTGTCCTGATTGGTTAGTTTGTTTTTGCCAACAGACTCTTTCGTATCTCAGGAGACAAAATGTGGCAAAATAAACACAAAAGTATTTGAATGAAGTGAGTTGTAACCAATAAAGTAACCACTTTACCTTTAGTCTCTAATAAACACTCAAACATGTTATTAGTCCATCACTCAACCAACAATCATAAGATACGGAAGTAAAACAGAAGTGTTAATAGCACAAGATAATGCGCAATATAACCGAGGTGAGATACCAGCAGTAACACTAACAGAGATGAGATACCAGCAGTAACACTAACAGAGGTAACACTACAATAACAAGGCGCACTGGTAGCAAGTCTGCAAGTAGCCCGACTAGGTTATAGAAAGTGTACTACCTAGTTGAGGGGCTATTAATAGACCCAACATTAGATCAGGCTATACGGGGAAAGCTGTCATGCTGTTTTAAAAAGTTAATATTGTGTATCTAGCGTAACGTAAATGGAAATATTGGCACTGTGCCAAAGATAATACTCAGCTTGTTCAGGAATATCACATAATATATAATTACATAATTATATAATTACATAGTATTATATGCACATACCCAATACCCATGCAGTCTAGCGGCGGTATGACATACGACATATCCCTACTGATATACTGATATACTGATATACTGATATACTGATATACTGATATACTGATATACTGATATACTGATATACTGATATACTGATATACTGATATACTGATATACTGATATACTGATATACTGATATACTGATATACTGATATACTGATATACTATTATACTGATATACTGATATACTGATATATTTTAAGGGTGTGGTAATGGTGCAAACAAAGCACCTAGCTTAGGGCTTGGTCTTCTCAACTCTTTATTTCGCGTAGTGTGAATACCAAAATACTGTTCTCTGATTGGTTGGTTTGACTTATTGTCCCCGTTCAGGTGGTTTACTCAACTCCTTATTTCGTAGGTGTTCACTAGTTGATACCCAGTACTATATATAATACTAGTTGATGCAAGTGACCCAGTCACTGTGCAGAACAATCTCTGATAACAATCTCACTTATAGTTTGCTTGTTGCTCCACTGTGTGAAGTGTAGTGGTACAGTTGTTGTTGCTCCCTCAGATTCAGCTTAAGATCACAATATGAAGTTCTTCAGCAGTTTTGCTATTTGTATCTGTTTGGTGATCCCAGCAGTTCTCACTACTAATGCTTCCCCGGAGGGAGATCTCCAACTGTCGGGAGGTGTGAAAGGTAACGTTCTCCTTAAACCTATAGCTGTTAGTCGACCAATGTACAATATTCCCTCTAGCCAGACTCTTCTACCCCCCCCTCCTCCCCCCTTTACTTTAGCACTGATCCGGTGTCACAAGTATATATATATATTATCGTACTGTTGTTAACTATTATGTTCTTACAGGTAACAAATGACAAATTATTTGTATTACCACGTGTTTTCCACGTGACAAAGCATACAATACCTATTAGTATTATTACAATAACTATTTTCAGTGTCCAAGTCTGCATTCCACTGTAAAGTGTTGGAGCACCACAGAATGGACTGTTTCTGTCTGAGCGCCCAGTTCACCGTTAACAGCTGCCATTCCTTACTGGGCGAGGACATCATCAACTCCCACAAGTACAAAATAGGTTGGATTTATTGAGTTTTAATTGACGTATGTTACTCGTCTAAATTTCTTCAAAGTAGCGCGCCGCTTTCTTCTCGAAAGTGCTACGAAATAGCGCGCGCCGGGCCAAATCATTAATAATGGTCAAAGTTTTAATGGAGTGACTTTGTTAACGAAAACCTCTGAAATGGGACAAGGATATATGGAATGGGTTGTCTGTGATAGATCTGACTTAGACCTTAGTTCCCTGGTAATAGTAGTGGTAGTTAAAATTGTATCGAACATACATATTTTGGCTATTTTCTCACCATTTTAACATCAGTACGTTTACTTCCTCCGCGCTGTTAAAATACATGACGCTATTAATTCCCCTCCAGATCACATCAAGGGTTCATTGTGTCGGAATCACAGAATGAATTGTCGCAACGGTGAAAATACAAAGCAATGCTGTAGATCACTACTCTGCTACAGGAATCTTGGGTGTCGTTAAAACAACAAACTAACTGAGGATAACACGTTAATCAAGGAATTTACTTTATTAGTTAACTAGAAAGCCCGTGGTAACAGGGACGAAGCTAGTATAGTAGTATTCTTTAAAAGAAAGTTTTAATCGCATCAAAAAATATCTATCTCAACCGAAGATCCAGCCGATTCAAATATAAAACACTTTAAACACAATGTAATTACCACAAAACCGATCAAAATGACGTTAGAAGTAGAACAATCTTTGCACGTGCATGTGTAAATTAAAACACTGTTGCTATGGAACCTTTCGGTTGTTACCTAAATTCCTATTTCTCGCCTAATTTGCACGTGGGCGGTCGTACATCCTACAAAAAGAATTTTTTGAATTATAGTAGAGATTAGTTAATTAATTAATCAATTAAATACTTCAATAATGAAATATTAAATGGTGTTTATGACTTATTGATGACAACATTTTAATGCATTTTTAATGACTTGTTGATGAATTGTAAATGGATTTTTAATGATTTATTATTAATTATTATTAATGACTTATTGGTGATTATTAATATTAATGATAAATTTCTAATGACTTGTTCATGAATTGTAAATTGCTTGTTTATGGCTAGTTAAAGACTTAAAAGAGCTGACAAGTATTAAAAGGAAAAACCGCGTTAATAGCATAAAAGTGCACAACGGCCTTTAAAACTACTAGCAAAACTGCGCGTTTCGATCTGAAAGCACGTTTTTTAGAGATTTTACCGGTGTATCCTCTAAAATCATCTGATTCGTTTAATTTTAGGGAGGGGCGCTAAAAGGGGAGAGGGTGCAAATAGAGGGGGGGGGGGCGCTTTTCGGGGGGGGGGGGGGGGGGGGGGGGGGGGGGGCAACATGCAACGTTACACCACTTTTTCCTACATAACATTGGATCACCACTTTACAAATCACAGGAGAGAACACACATTTCGCCGCGGTTACACTCATGTTGATCAATTTTCCCTACGAACCCCAAAAAACTGTTCCATCGCCAATCGATGGGGACAACTTTCTATGGCAAGTTGAAGTTGACCCTGCGTGGAATCGCAATACTTGGTTTGAGGAAGTTAGTAATTTTGACAATTACCAGTACCACAATCATCACATTATGGGAACAAATGATGGTTTGAAGCCGTCAAGTGTTTTACTTTTCGAGTTAGTACGATATATTAATACCTTATCGGACCTTATTTGGACGGACATTACATGAACGGACACAATTGTGAACGGACATTAATATGAACGCTCGAAGGCATTCAAAACCAATAAAAATCCGAATTTTTTTCAATATTTTTTGACGTTTTTTAAATTTCAGCAAATGATTTTTAAATCCATTTTTTATACAGTAAGTAAGAAAAGCAGTCATTAAGCAATAAAAATTTTAAATATGTGTACATGATCAGTGTCTAATATCACATATCATCTTCATCAAATGGGTTTTCGTGCATGAAATAGTCCATGCTTAAAGCATCAGTGATTTCTAGCTTTATGGAAACCTTTTTTTATCAAACTACCCCGGTCCTGCATTTCAGTGTTAACTTTTACAAGCTATTCGGCGTGAAGTGGTTTTATCTTAGACAACTTTAGGTTAACCTTAACATCACGTGGAGCATTCCTAGCACTGTTTCATTACCGCCCCCGAGTAATATGAACTATAACAAAGTCGGACAATGTCCTTGGCAACACGATTTACCGTAATATCTAGAGGCTGGAACAAGTTTGTCTAGTTCATGAACTATGTTGCTGAGTGCCATAATTTCGTTGACTTTTTTCCGCCAAGTGACCCTTGAAAACATCATATACTATAGTAGTAGTGTTTTCTGTGCCTCCGGCAGACCAAGGAGAACCTTTCCGTCGTTAACTTACGGCACAATAAAGTTCTCAAAGTTGTCATATTCTGGACAAAAAGTTCGAAATGGAAAAATTTTTGAAAAAATTTCAACGGACTTTAACTTGGACGGACATTAATTGAACGGACTTTATTTGAACGGACATTAAGATGAACGCTAGGGCCTCCAGCGTTCAAGTAATGTCCGTCCAAATAAGGTCCGATAAGGTAATCACGTCGCAAGTAGCGATTTCAAAAAGCGTATGTCACCTTGTAAAGTAAAACCTCAACTGCTCATGTTTTATTTCTATCAATGATGACCGATTTTTGAGTTTTTTCGTGTTTATTTGTGATCCCAAATAGGACTGTAGAGCGGTGTCAAATCGCCAGGGTAGGACTCCAGAGCGGCCGCCCTTATAGATCTCACAACATGAGGACTTTAGAGCAGTACGATCCTAAAATGAGGACTGAAGAGCGGTGGACTGTTGAGCGGTGGACTGTAGGCCGGTAAAGGTCGGAAGTAGGACTGCAGAAAGCGGGCAGGTTTAGTGCTGCGAGCGGTGGAAACCCCTTGTACCCAGGTCATCATAAAATAGTTGAGGAAATCGTCAAGGCTAAGGTCGCCGGGGATTAGGTCTCGGCTTCGGATGCACCTTGCTTAACGGAGTTTAGGATCTGGGCAGGAGGGTTGTTAGAGCATATCCGAAGGTGCTTGGCGCGGGAGTAGATAGTCTTCACTTCGCAGCTGGTGAAGTCTGCAGGATGAATGTGAGGTTTAGGGGTGTCACAGACGGAATCTCCAGTGGTGTAGATGCGACCAGGACACTTGTATTTCCTCAGGACACATCGCCAAGCTTGACGGCCGTCTTGGGTAGAAAGACTGTTAACACTTTGCATATAATAGGTAGTTGTAGAAACTAGAAGAGGAGTAGGAATCGAATTTGATATACGAAAACTGGATACTCCGTGATATTTATACCATACCTTCGAAATCCTAACAAGATATCGAACTGCGATGGGATCTGATCTGAATCAGTCCCGTCACCAGATTGATGAACATGAGATATCCTTAGTAGGCGCTAAAGCGTCACGCGATGCGATCCTCATTCCTAAATGATCTGCACGAACTTGATCGGTACTCTGCTTAGCGAAATCACATTGATACGAACAGTTCACTAAAATACCGAAGACACGTTTTAAATTTTTGAGTAGCAGGGGAATATTTCAATCATTTGGAAGACGTTGAGACCGACCAATAATCTTAAATTAAGTTACACTATAATATTAGTAATGAAATATTTATAATAAGTAAATGAAAATGTTCATTAACTCCATGACTCTTTAATAAAGTTATCATCCTAGAATGTCATTACCATAATCAATCACGAGTTACAATGTATAACTTACCTTCGTTGAGTGTTCAATCTTCAAATTTTCAACCGCTATAGAGTCCTCATGTTATAGGAGGGTACCGCTCTAGAGTCCTCATGTTATTGGATCTATAAGGGAGGGCCGCTCTGCAGTCCTACTTCCGACCTTCACCGACCTTCACCGACCTTCACCGACCTTCACCGGCCTACATTCAACCGCTCAACAGTCCACCGCTCTACAGTCCTCATTTTAGGATCGTACCGCTCTAAAGTCCTCATGTTGTGAGATCTATAAGGGCGGCCGCTCTAGAGTCCTACCCTGGCAATTTGACACCGCTCTACAGTCCTACTTCCGACCTTCACCGACCTACAGTCCTACGCTCAACAGTCCTCCGCTCAATAGTCCTACAGCCCTGGTGTTCAATGCTCTTATTCTCTTATTCTATTTAGATGGGCTTATATTATTATGTATCGCTACTCGCGACGTGATATTATATCATACTAACTCGAAAAGTAAAACACTTGACGGCTTCAAACCATCATTTGTTCCCATAATGTGATGATTGTGGTACTGGTACTGGTAATTGTCAAAATTACTAACTTCCTCAAACCAAGTATTGCGATTCCACGCAGGGTCAACTTCAACTTGCCATAGAAAGTTGTCCCCATCGATTGGCGATGGAACAGTTTTTTGGGGGTTTGTAGGGAAAATTGATCAACATGGTGTAACGTAAAGTGGTGATCCAATGGAGGAAAAAGTGGCGTAACGTTGCATGTTGGCCCCCCCCCCCCCCCCGAAAAAGCGCCCCCCTCTATTGGCGCCCCCTCCCCTTTTAGCGCCGCTCCCTAAAATTAAACAAATTAATTTATTTTAGAGGATACGCCGGCAGTTTCTCTGTTATCTAATACATTTTTTAAATGTGTGACGAGAATGGTACCATCTAACAAGAAAGTCGTATGAAACTATTTTATTAACTGGACATTCAAATTTGGTCAAACACAGAAGCATATTTTTGCCCAGACGATGAAACGAGTATTTTTACCATTGGGGGTTTACAAAGTCTCATAGTGTGACATGAAAAATGAACATGTCCATAAAATAAAGATTTCAATTATGTGTCATGGTACAAATAAAAGCATCATATAATGAAAAAAATAAATTCGATATGTAATAATTTTAAAAGTCTACATATAAATTGACAACTAAACATCGAAATGAATATTTTCGAACGTTATTTAAACAATAAAATTTAACAGGTTTCAGCATCATGATCGAAATTATATATACTACTCACAAGAATGAGTTCAGTCGGTAATATCAATTAAGCATATTAAGTATTAACATTTCCTATCAATATCATGTCTTCATTTCAATAAAATAGGACGAATTAAAATTCGATCCAAAAATCGATCAATAGGTAATCGTAGATGGATCATAAAAAATGGTCACTGTCACCAAGATGTAAATCAGATCGAATTGAGACGCCGTTCGATCTAATTTCTCGTTCGATCTAATTTCTCGTTCTTTGCACACGAAAGTCTATTTTTAAGTGTAAGCCACACATCAAATTAGTTTCGAAAGTTTTCCGATAAAAAATATTTCAAGAATTAAATTAATTCCAGACAAATATATGAGCTATGATTTGAAAGTTTCAGCCCCTTTTATTGAGGGTAAATTTGTTCGATAACTCTCAAACAAGGACTAAGATCAGTTCTAGTGTAGTATACTCCGGTAGATGTGTTACACACCACTTCCTTCGCATCCTCGTTCATGAAAACCATCTTTACATCAATGCACGTGACGACATATTTATAGTCGTC